CGTTTTTATCTACGTACTATCTCTTTTATTTATTTAATTCTCTGTTTATTTATATATCTATAGAATTCTAAATAAATAGGTCCTAGGTTAACCCTTTATATATTTCGTTATTTTTTATATTATATAATTACTTTACGTTTATATCTAAATAGTAGCGCCTTTAAATTAAACCGGATCGACCCTATTTAACAAACTAACTATAATAATTAATTATATTACGAATCTAATTATATAAATACTAACTATATAACTATATATTATATAAGTATAATATATCCCCCCGACGGAGTAATCCGCCGGGGCCGTACCGTGTATTACGTATTAAAAAAAACTAGGTATATTATACTCTAAACCTAACTACTAACTAAAACCGTAATAATATTTAACTTACTTAACTATTTTTTCCCTTTTATTAATAGCTCCCGACCTTTTATTATTTCTAGCTATTTAGAGGGTAAGCTTTATTTATTTTAATATATATAAAACCTCTTAGTACTAGCCTATATAAGCGGCTAGGTTTAATATAATCTCTTTTTTTATATAAATATTATCGTTATTTAAAGGGGCTCGTAAATATTAATTTATTACTTTAACTCTATATACTTTTAGTTTATTTATTTTAGCTATTATAGCTAAACTAATATTAATATATTAAATTTTAATATTAATATTAGCTAAGCTATTTATAGTATTTATACTATTATTTAACTAAATTCTATATTATTAAAAAGTACTTTACTATTTTTAAACGTATTTATATTGACTATTATAGCTATAGTATCGAGCTAATTAAAAAAGGGGCCTATTCCGAGGGGGGTAGATTTATCGAGGGGCATTATTAGCCCGCTAATTATTAACTTAAAATAAATTCTTATCAATATATTAATAGTTTATATATTAATAGGTTCGTTTAATAAATTTATTTAGTAGTTTATTTAGTTTAAATAGAGTTTATTAATAATATAAAAAGTAATAAAAATAAAAAAAATCTTTATAAACTCTAAATAGCTAAATATTAGCCCTTTTAGCCCTTTCTTTAAAAACCTTTATATTACTATTAAAGTTTAGAACCTTTATAGTTAAGGGCCGCTTTTAACTTTTATAACTAACCTCTATAGCTAACCTTTATAATTAACCTTTTTAATTACTATTACTATATAATAAAAAGGGTAGTTTATTTATCCTAAATTATATAGCGGTTTTTATATTAAAATTACTATATTAAATTAAATATGTATTTAGGGTATATTATATATATTATATAATTAAAAAGTATATTATATTATATAATTTTTTTTAAAAGCCTAATCCCGTTAATATTAATTCTTTATATTTATAAAGCTAGAAAAAACCTAATATATATAATAAATTAACGTTACTACTTAGCTATATATAGCTACTTTTTACTAAGCAGTTATAGGGTACGTACTTTTATATTTATAAAGTAATTAATTATATAAACGTAAAAAAATATTAACTATAGGCAGATTCGAACTACTTTTTTTTTTTAAAACGCGCTAAAAATTGAAGTTAACGCTTAGACTTCCTAGACTTATATTACTAAGCTACGTAGCTATATCGTTTTATTATATTTATATATAATTAAAGTCTTCTTTTTATATTCTTCTTTCATTAGTTTACTTTTTAATATTCTACAATAAACTAACTAAAATAAAAAAGAAAAACTATTAAAATTAATTACCCTACTATACTCTAGTAGTCTTACTATTTTAATAAACTTTTATTATATTATAAATTATTAATATTTAAAATATCTTTACAAATCTTTTAACTCTTAATATATTAATAATATTAGCATAATGCGTAGAACTAATAAGCTTAATTTACTAGCTATAGTTTTATTTTAATATATTTAATTAATATCGTGCGAGGGATATTACAGAACAAAAGGAACTCCCGCTGGACCTTTTGGACTGAACGATCATACCCACATGATTTGGCCAGGTACATTCAGCTTCGGATGGATTGTGGCAGCTGGCCGAATTTGTCGTGTCTCAGGTCGCGAGTGATTCCAAGCCATTCTGACTGACGCAGATCTCAGCGAAAGCACCCATCGAACCTTTCACTCCTCCCACAAAGACATGTAGGTACTACCTTAGGACTGGTGGGAATCTCCGGCATTCTTGAATCCTGGCCGGTGGGATTACTGTATAGCAAAAGCATCGACAAGTAAAGAGTACGAGTTGATCGGTCCGTTATCAGAGCAAATCCCGCATGTCAGCGCAGCACGGAAGCTCTAGGCAAGCGAAGAAGATGCCCCTCATCGTAGTACTTATCGGAGCTGATCATTGGCTGCTGTTGGAGCAATGTCTCCAGCCCACACTGTATTCTGCCCGCCATCGTCACAAACCAATGAGAGCAAACGTCCCGTGCGCTCGGTCAAGCCGAATCAGGACTAGCATCAGAAAGTGTGACTCACACTCTCATTTCGTGCAGGGGTACCGCCCTTCCTTCCTGTGGGCGCAGCTGGCTGCCTTGCGCTATGTACGTCTGAAGATGGTACTCGTGTCTAGGTACCAGTTCTACGACTTGAGCACCAATTTGTGCGCTTAGTAACACGGCGGGATACATTGCCCCGCTGTATCTTATAAACAGCAGGGCTTCGACAACTGCGCCCTTCGCCCTGTTTGCGTATCCGGAAGTGCCGTCCCACAACCACCCGCCCTTTTCGTTTTTTGGCCTATTGCTGCCTTTCAGGCTACAAAAGGTCGCTAATCCCTCCACGCCGGGCTTGCGTCTGCTCTTCTTCTCCTCCCCCCTCATCACCACAATTTTCCAAATCATAATCAAGAATCATACAGCCACAGAGGCTCGCCAAAATGCGTTAAATCATCGTCTTCAGTTTGATCCCGCTTCAAAGCTCAACAAAATTCAGTCCACAACAATTCACGACTTCTCTCCGCTCCACACTTCAGCTCAACCTTCTCAGGTCGATCTGAACTACACTACGGCTTCCAGCTCTAGCTTTAGTTCCGCTTCAGCAAACATTCTACCCCGAGACTTCTCAGTCTTCACCACGGATTCCCAATCATCATGGCTTCCCTCCAGTTCACCCAGCCTGCCGGCACAACCCGCGCAACAGTTCAGCCCACCGGAACAGTCTCCCCAGCAGGACTTCGTCTTGTTCGATCAGCCTCGCACCAGTCAACCTAGACATTTGGCAACTCATACCGCCATCGGTTTGAATCAACGCCGTCACTCGTCACATCAGCTCCGACAGAACCTACAAGGTCGTGTCCATCTTCAACAGAAGCATCGTCTTGCTCAGATCCAAGCTTCCGGATCCCATTCCCGGCCATCTTCAGTGTACTCCCCCGCTCAGGCAGCTCAATTTTACGCTTCATCCGCTCCGTCGTCTTCAGCTGCTCTGAACCGTCGCCAGCGCCCTCCTGTACCACTGTTCGCTCAAAGTCTTCAGGGTGCGACCAATAAGATGGATATTCAAGGTAAGCAGCTCGCACTTTATTCACGCTCAGGGCTCCGCTCACACTCTACAGACCTTGACCTTGACGACTTTACCGGCTTCGAGGGTGGTGCGTCTACCACGTACTCGTCGCCTGCCATGCCCTCGGTATTCGATGTTGGTCCCACTTTGGGCACTGTTTCTCCTCAGGACCTGCTCATTCAGGAGCCTTTTATGTCTGCTCCCAATTCGACAGCTCTGACCGCTTTGACATCGCCTTCGATCTACAATGAGTCGCCTGACTTTAACGACGGTTACGATGTTTCCCCCAGTTTCGACTCGGGCGACTTCGGGTCGGCAGACTTTGACACTACTGCTGGTGATCCTTGGTTCCCTCTCTTTCCCCAAGAGTCTACCACTGCCACAAAGGACGTCACCAGTATCGAGGAGATCCAGAAGCTGCAGACTGACCAGTCACCTGCTCTCAATGGCGATGACCTGGAAGTGGTCGAGTTCGCTTCAACCTCGGGTCGCCGGAAGTCTGTCAACTCTTCCCCAACTAGTTCAGCCCGTCACTCCTCAGTCTCGGGCGTGAGCTCTCGTCGACGAGACAAGCCGCTGCCTCCTATCATTGTGGAGGATCCCAGTGACACCACCGCTATGAAGCGTGCGCGTAACACACTAGCTGCACGCAAGTCTCGTGAGCGAAAAGCCCAACGGTTTGAAGATTTGGAAGAGAAGATCCGTAAGCTTGAAGAGGAGCGTGACCACTGGAAGAGCATCGCTCTGGGTCGATCCTGAACTGTTTCCTCAAAAAACACAAAGGCAAACCTGGATGAATTGGAGGGATTAGAGTACATTTTTGTGCATTTCCTTCCGTAATATCCATTTTCCTAATCTTCACTGCTTTTGTTAGTGCCGCTTGTTATTCTCGGCTGTAGTCTACTCAATTCACACTTTTATCTTTCAAAGAACAAACATCTTCAATATCAAGTGAGCAAACATGACACGTAGTTTCCCTCGTGAGACGAGGATATCAGTTTCATGGTACGGTCCTCCAATTACAGGCTCGAGTTGCACATCAATCCCAGTTTGTTTCTCATGTAATACCACTCACATTGTCCTATTTCGACAGAAACACACGTTGCCAAATCTCTCATGCTTTGTACATCTGTCCCTAACATTACACCGCTAATCATTGGGGCTACCGACCGACCGATAATTGACGTCTTCGGCAGGGCAGCATCGATTTAGCAATCGTCCCAACGCGGTCTCCGGCTTCCTCTTTGCGCCAGTATTCATAAGCCCTGCTTGTTTTTTTGGGAGTCTCTCGACGACAATTGCTCGTATTACACGTAAAAGTACCGGATCGCCGAAACATCAGCGGGTCTGTAGCTGTGTCAGCGATATTTGCTGAAGCGTTTGATAATATTTGTTTTTATGCCACAACGCCAAATGCCGTCTTTGCGCGATGAACCCCTCTACGAAAACTACTCTTGTGTCAGGCTTTGCCGTTGACATTAGCCATGCGACTAAGGTGATCGGGTGGTGCTAAGGAGCATTCGAGACCTAGATGTCAATTCCCACTGATTCGCTCGCCACCAACTTTGGTTTCAAGGATTTCGTTGTTGACGATGTCTTTACTTCCATCCCGGAAGTCTTTCATCAGTGACAAGAACCGAGAATTCTTCCATTTATCTCCTTGTTCATGTTGAACCGAGTCAAGTATCTGTCTCGCTGCCTCCGAAATGTCCGATGTTGACTGGGCATGTTCTGCAGATGCTTGCTCCGCTTCGTCGAGGCCCAGACGTTCCAAGTCAGGCATGTGGTCCGATAAACTCGCTCTTGTTGGTACTTCGATGGCACTAGTTCCAAGGACCGAGGGTGCGCTGGTTATTTGTTGGGTTGTTGAAGCCGTAGCATCGAACGTTTGTGCCCCCTGAGCTTCACCTTGGACAGAAACATTTAACGAGGTTATGACAGTATCCACTGAGCCGCCGATGGTACCTCTGGATGCTTGTGTAGCGGCCTCTGGTCGCTGCTCTTGTTCCAGTTCTCGCGCGAGTTGTTCCATGACAGTATCGAGGTCCTCCATCTGTCCGTCACCGTTCGCCGCCATCCACCGATTCATCTCAACATCAAAGTCAGCTTCGGTGCTTGTAACTCCGTGATTGACGGCGGTTGCAGAACCGCCTTGAGGCCGGAACACCCAAGGTCCTAATTGAGACCCCATCACATTCTGCGTAAACCCGGCTACAGGCGCTGGATATTGTGAGGACGAAAACCCTGTTGTGTAGCTTCCAGCACTTGGCGGTGCCCTAGAGAATGATGCAAAATCTTGCGCCCAACTCGATGTCCTCGGTGGCGACGCTATATTTTGCCGAGAAGCTGTCGGAATTTGTGACGTAGATTGGTAGGCGTTGGGTGGGAGCATTCGGCCGTCAGGAGCCGCTGATGTGTGGAACGTTTGCGACCCTCGAGGGAAGCTTGGTATGGGCGAGCTTAAGGTTTGGGGAGTGTTTAGGCTGACTTGCTCAGTCCCGCTGGAATCGAAGAATTCGCCAAAGCCTGCTTGAGCCGGCGCCGAGACGGTTCGAGATGTAGACCGAAAGCCCTGTCATTGTTAGGAGAAAATGCTTGAGAGCACGGAGGCGATACTGTAGGCCTTACTTGCTGGAGGCTGGCAGTGCTGGTAAACCGATCTCGATGCAGGCTACGATCTTGGGCGCCATGGTCAACGAGGCCTTTGAACGGCGTAGAGCCGCTACAGGAACTGTCAGCCATTGTGAGGACGCCTGCGATGGCTATTCCCGGTAAATGATCAATGGTAACAGCGCTTAGAATGTGCGTTGTTCGAGTGCGCAATCAAGTTGCATGTGGTGTCTGAAGAGTGTGGACTTTGGTGTTTGAGGCTGATCACAGTCCTGAGCAGGAGGCTGGCTATGGCACGTCGAGAAAAGAGTTTGAGTGAAATGGCAGATTAGGTAGCCGGGTAGATGGAGTAGCACTGTAAAAAAAAAAGGGCATCCCAACGTTGTCTGGTATTCATAGGTTGGTAGGTAGGTAGGTAGGTAGGCAGTAGTGAGGCTTTCATCGACCCCCACATCGGTTTACCTCGGCATCGGCTTGTACGTACCTCTGCGACAGCGATCCCGTTCACGGGACTGAAGCCGGGGGAGGGGGAGGGGTCTCACGTGTAAGAGACAGGAAGTTCCTGGCCGTCAATCTAGAGGAAGGTCACGCGGCTCAGGTCACGGGAACTTTACTCCACCGCCTTCCTCATACGGAACTCCTTAGTGGTGCCTTGCAACACGGCCCCATCCCGTTGGCCAAATTGGATCTCAAGCTTGGGCTAAGGCCAGCTGGGAGCTTCGATTCCCTTAGGTGGCACTTACAGTGACGCCTTCTAGTCTGCCATTCAACCTACCCCAAGTCTTACCCAGATCTTGAGTCCTCCCGCGTCAACCTATATCTGATGTTTTGAATTGAGCGCAGTCCTCAATTATCAACACCAGCTCCTAACCCTGCAATGGTATGGCTTTCCCAACATACACTTGGCAATCCGCTTCGCTAACATGGATCTTCACGCAGGCGTCTGCCCAGGTCATATCGAATTCTGGCCACGATGACATGATTGTAAGTGCCTCTTCGAGTCTTGCTACACGTTCCCGATCGCCTAGTTTTTTCCTACATAGGGAAATATACACCATCGACGCCTGTGTCGTAATGTGCTATCGGCGGTCGCCTCCTTGTCCTACATGTTCGGTAAGGCTAATATTCCGCCCCCTTTTACCAGCACGATGCCGTCCTCGATTACTATGGACGTCGCCTTGCGACATGTTCAAGCGACCGCACCATCAAAATATTCGAAATCGACGGGGACTCCCAACGACTTGTTGAGACCCTGAAAGGGTAAGCATCGTACATTCGAAACCTTCAGAAACACGAGTTTTCTACTCCTGCTGACTCTGTTGCAGACATGATGGCGCAGTTTGGTGCGTTTCTTGGGCGCACCCCAAGTATGGAAACATTCTGGCCTCTGCAGGCTACGACGGCAAGGTCTTCATCTGGAGGGAACAGAACAACCAGTGGCAGAAGATTTTCGATTTCGCTCTGCACAAAGCCTCCGTCAATATAGTCTCTTGGTCACCACACGAGTCTGGGTGCCTCCTGGCGTGTGCTTCTTCGGACGGCAACGTGAGCATACTCGAATTCCGCGACAACAGCTTCGACCATGTGACATTCCCAGCCCACGGGTTAGGCGTCAACTCCGTCTCATGGGCACCGGCCACAGCACCTGGAAGCATCGTCAGCAGTTCTCCTGGTCCTGGTTCAGCTGGTGTGAGGCGATTTGTCACAGGTGGCTGTGATAACTTGCTCAAAGTTTGGGTTTTCGACGCAGCATCGCAGTCGTACAAACAGGAGCAGGAGCCTCTCGCTGGTCACACAGACTGGGTTCGTGATGTCGCATGGTCGCCGACGGTCTTGCAGAAGTCATACATTGCGTCAGCTTCCCAAGACAAGACAGTTCGCATTTGGACGTCGGATTCGTCGAGCGGTGGACAATGGAACTGCAAGGTTCTCAACTTTGATGCAGCTGTGTGGAGAGTCAGCTGGTCTTTGAGCGGCAATGTGCTCGCGGTCAGCGGAGGCGACAACAAGGTTTCGTTGTGGAAGGAGAATCTCAGAGGCGAGTGGGAGTGCGTCAAGAGCATCGAGGAGTAATACAAACATCCATGTAACGTCACAGGCGAGGCGTTCGCGGCAAAATAGGGCATAGATGGGTCATCAAGTATTTGAACTCGTAAAATTCATGGCGTTTTCCAGGCCACTGTTGCTTGTACACCGTGGATTATTACTCACATAAAGCAGTGTACTCTCGACATAACTGAACATCTGTTTACTCTTTCAACTCGGTCATTCCCAGACTGAGAGTATACGAAGCTGATTCTCAGAGAACGATCAGCCTGACCACGCCCGCACCTCCCATGAAAACGAATACTGAGATCGCAAGGCTGCCAAAGGAGGTGAGCCAGGAGGGGACTAAAGTTGCTGCAGCGTCGGGCGATGATGTTGGAACAGGGGCGGCCGGAGAACTGGTCGAGACTGAGACATCGGTCCTCTGAAGGACAAAAATCTCACCCGTCGAATCTGATGTCATGAAAAGTCTCTGCTGACTGTCCCAAGCAAGTCCTACCGGGCGAAAGCAGTTGTCAGGGCAACTACTGGTGTCTGCGTTACTTAGAACATCAGTGGTTGGTGTCCGGCTATCAGCCGACTCTGTGGGCTCTCCATTTGAAAAACGTATGCTAGATAGCTTGTAACCGACAGCCACGTCTCGGTTCCCTGTACCGATGTAAGTCATGGGACTGAATGTGGACAATAGAGCTCTGGCGTTACTCACAACTACCATGGAATGTTACAAAGGCTTCTGAGCCATCGGACGTGAACTTTATATCCAATGGAGCAGTGTGCGCCTGGAAAGATAGTCTTGGGGGCACATAAGCGGAATTGCAGGTTGTATCGTTCAGGGTACGTGATGGGCTGAGAGTGAACTGATCTCCCGTCGTCATGTTGCCTTTATCGGGAAATCCCTCGGTGGACCAGACAGCAAAGCAACTTGGATATCCATAATTACCGCCCTGGTCCTTGTTAGAATTACTGAGGTATCCGTGGAAGTTGAGTTCTTCGGCAGGATTATCAGTGTGAATGTCAACGTTGTTCCTCCTTAACTGGTCCGCTGAGTTCTCCACTGTCCATATACCGCCTGTGACAGGCTCTTCTGCCACGCCGACCGAGTTCCGCAATCCCCAGCCTAGCATCTTTCCCTCAGTTGGGAAGTTGAGCGGCCCAGAATTCTCTCCGAGGCTCCCGATATCAAACGCACGAAGCTGGGAATGCCCAGTCGACTGGCGGGTCGCAGCCTCGTCAATGTTGGACGCGCTTCCTCTCGACACCAAGAGTATGCCTGGACTTTTGTTGGATAGAAGTAATGTCCGGGTGGTATGGTCGGTATTGCTCATATTCGCTATGAGTGTCCTATTCCTATCGCCAACAGTGGCAGCACTGCCATCATATGACCAGGAATATACCTTGTCGGCGGTCGAGGCATACAGAGTCTTCCCATCCGGGGAGAGGGCTATTCCGTGGTTCAACTTTGGGCCGCCAAGCACATTACAATAAGTAAGCTCGCTACACATACTCAGTCTCTAGAATTATCATACCTCTGGGGAATCAATAATCGTCCGTTTCTCGGCCACAGATAAGCAAGTGCCGCCATCGTCAGTCAGCTTCAGATGTTTTACCCCGGAGTTAGCATCGACAACCAGGAGAGCTCCCTGATTGTCGAAAAGTATGCTTCTAGGCCGAGTGAATCCGTTCGCGATTAGACGATATGTCCAGCCACCGGCAGCAATGGGCGAGGTATACGTTGTTTTCAACGTATTTCGGCACTCCTGGGCCAAGGCCACAGAAAGTTGAGAGGAGGCAAGAATGTGCAAAGAAAGTAAGAGATTCATGTTGTTAGTAGTCGGCACGTACATGTGTGAATGGAAAAGCAGGGCGAATGTAGAGAGAGTCGTAAACGTGAACGAAGAACCGGATCGGACCTGAAGCCGTTATTATAGTGCGGAGAGGCAGGCGTCGCTATTCTATGACGGAAGATCACCCTGTGTTCACCGAAACTTAGCTTGGACCGACAGTTCAGCCAAGAAATGATGCTACACTTGTTTGTGCCGGGGGAGCTTGGCTAGGATTTGGGGCTGCACTAGTGTGCCTGACGCTGATTCTCCCCAAGGGAATGATTTTGGGGAAGAGGGTGCGATGTCTCTTTCGTACGCGGGCTTATTCTGTCTCCAAATAATACATAGCTAGCATTGAGGTGCAAGACATTTTGTCTTTGTCGCCGAGGAGCCCAGTGGGGTGAAGGAGCGACAGTATGAGCAGGGGTTGGGTGAAGACTACCTACCTATCTATGCTGGCGGATCGAGAACACAGCTGGCGGCGGCCCCGAGCCAAGCCAATATGGACTTGAAGTCACTGCACCTAAAATGAGTCAGTGGTTCCCTTATAACAAGGACAAGACGATGACGAGAACGTCACTACTGGGTTCCTCACAAGTATCAATCATGAGTCCATGTATCCAGGTGACAGCTATGATCAAGAAAATGCTCTTGTTTGATTATTTGATAAATGACCCATGACTAATGTCTGTCTTGGTCTGACGCACCTATGAACACGCTCGATATAAGTCTCGAATAGCGGTCTCGCCATTGAAAACGAATGTTACCTATGCATGGCCGACGAAGCCCACTGACCATTTCACGTATGTGTTCGAAGAAGTAGACGGAAGGAAACCCATGATTCAACCCACAAAGCCAGGCTGCGCTACACCATTACGCCCATTCCCGACCTCTCGCCGCCCAAGATAGTAGCCAAGCTTGTCAGCCTCATCGGAGGCCGATTACGCTCATTTCCAGGGTCCAAACGCGCCTGATCCAGACCTTCAGCATCCCTTCAATGCCCTCAACATTGTCAAGCTCCACGCCTTCCCACCAGCAGCGTCTCGCAGGCTTCCTCCAAAAGAGGAGCAGCTTCTGCGCCATACCAACGGCATTACTGCCCATGTCATTACCTCTGATATCGCTTCGTAGGCGTGCCAATGCCAGGCTGCAAACAACCGCCTTATTCGGTTCTCCTGCTCTGTGACCCCAGTTGTCGTCATGATTGAACCCGCTGGTGAATAATTAGCTCTTATTAAGCCGGCCATTGCCATGCCGGGGTCACTTACCCTGCTGTGAGCATTTCAATGAGGTGAGCTTCCGTAGTACCCGGCTCATCACTGCGCTTCAGACCTGAGAAAATGCCCGTCTGTTGAAGAAGGGCTCTCCCAGCAGCTCTCTTGACTTCCATCATTTCAGGCTGCGTGATATCGGCCCGTGGGGGTATGACGTAGAAGTCAAGATCCTCTCTCAGAACGATGATGCCAGCCCTCTTGGATGAGTCGTCTCGTGAGCCCATGGGGTCTCCCGTCGCAGGATCCTCCTCCTGAGAAACACTTGGAGATGAGTCAACAGGTATCGACTGCGCAACGGTGCGAAAGAAGTCCAGCATATACTGCAGGGATGCCGGGTCATACTGCCGGGAAGTCGTCAATAACCGACATGCACTGTGTAGGTCACTGGAGAATTTGTACTAACGTCCACTTGCACTGCATCGCCCTCAGTAAATCCCCCCATGTGCCCCTCGGGGAAAAGGCCGTTAGGGAACAACGATAAAAGGACAAATTCAGGCAGCGTCAAGAGTTCGTCTCTCGACAGAACAAACCGGGTGCCCCTGCAGATAACAACGATTAGCGTTCAGGGTAGGACGTCGAGTAGAAGCAAACCCTACCGAAGGTCCATCGCGATCGTCTCGTCGGCACCAACATCTGCCATTACATTAGTCTTAACCGATTCGTCCTCGTTGAGTAGAAACTTACCTCCAATTGCATTGATGGGCGGCCCTCCTTGTTGCACCTGAGTAATGATACTCGACGCGCCTCCGGCGGTAGCCATCAGAAAGGCAAACGATTGGAGTGGACTGGGTCCCTCCGAGTATGCGGGGGGTGGTTCGGCGTTGTCGTCCTTTCCGGATGAGCCCCCTTTGGTGTCTCGAGGAAGCGCACGCTTTGTTTCTGCAAGAGCGTGATCAAAGGAAGTCGAAACCGATTGTTCTATAGAGAAGCCTGGAGCTAGAGATGCATACGACGGTGCAGCAGGAGATGTTCCAGCGACTGCGACTGTGATAGCAGAGCGAAGGTCGTGAGCCGGCTCGGAGGGGGTTTCGAGTGAATCGCACACTGAAGAGAAGGGTGGCGGCCGGGAGGTTGTTGCTTCGGAGGAGGGATACTGAGGAGGAGGAGACTGGGCGCTGAGGCTGGACTCTCCTGCACTTTCTTGCTCGGTCTTTGCTGGTAGCTCAGAAGAATCTTCTTCTCGAGAGGTGGTGACTGTACGCCGGGCGGACACGGGCTGCCCGTTCCTGACGTGTTGCGAACCTGGCAACGTGTTGGCGGTTTCGACAAAGGTATCGAGAATCGGATCGTAGCTAGATACAAACAAGTAGGGTGATTCGACCTCTTAGCTGATTCCAATTAATGGCATTCGTCAACAGGCTTTATGATCAGGCACTAATGCGAAAGCCAAATGAATGCTCTGTTTGTAAGGTTCTTAGCTCGGATGGTGATGATGATTCCAATGACCAAAGTGGTTGCGAAGGGCAGACGTGTAGAGAGAGAGAGAGAGAAGAGAGAGAGGAAGAGCGACGGGATATTCACCAAGGGTACTTCGTTCAGTAGAGCGCGAAACGGGGTAACAAAGGTCGCCTTGCAAGCGCAGGGGTGGCAGGCGTATGCTAGGCTTAGAGAAACCAATGGTTGATTGCGAGTGTCCGAGCAAATGGTGGATGGGAAATTGGTCGTTGGGGGGCAGTTTGATGAGGTAGAACAAGCAGGGGAGGATGGCGGCTATTTCCTTACCTGAGGTAGTGACCAAAAAGGCGAGCCCAGGTACAGAGCACTTGTGCCCAGTCAGTCCCAGTATTACGTCTACGCGCCTGCAGCAGTCCGTTGAATGGCCCCTCGGAGTAGGTGGTTACTCCACGACGGACCTCCACTTTAAGACATGGGAAATCGTAGGTAGCTTTCTATGTCTATTATTTTTCTCAAATCTAAACGATGCGAATAAACCAAACAGTCTAGTTCTATTTTATCTCTAGATCTTAATTACAATTTTCTTTAATAAAACTATTTATTTTCATCAATATTTTAATTCAATAAATATAAATATTGAATAATTAAAAACTTTTAAATCCGTAACTAATATGAAATATAAATGTTATAATACTTAGTTAAATAATTGTATGGTTTTATCCATTATGTGAGTGAAGGCGTACCCAGTCTACCTAGAGGCTAACGGAAGGGGGTTGATTGGTCCAGCCAACGAACACACTTCAGAGGCTCAGCCTGGGTTCATGGCAACACAGGCCCGCAATAATGTAGGTATCGCTAGGAGGTATTGCTTACCTTCCTCACAACCATTCTTCTTTCGGAATGACGGCCAGGAAAACTTGAGGCGATTCGACATCTCCTTAGACACATGCTTGGCCATTGGGATGTTACCGTGGGGCTTTCATGCATCGAAACAACACGTGATGACCTCATGTGTAATGCTGATAGTCTGGTCTAATGCTTTGAACACCTGCAGTGCCTACTTCCCTTACCGCCACGGATAGCTATAGTACTAACATAGGCAGAGGTATAAAGCTGTGATGGGATGAACAAACTAGCAGTAGGAAGGCCTCAGTCGCCCACGGTGCCCAATTCCAAGATAGTGTCGTTTCCCCATCTCATCTAGCAAATGCGTTGCCCGTGCTTTTGTGCCCGACATATACCTGCTGTGTATTATCATTCCGAGCATGGCAGCATTTTCTTGGAATATCCCCGGTCACTCAGCTCTATCGGCTTCTATTGCTGGCTCTATGGTATAGACGACTGTGAATCTTCAAAGCGCATTTTTTTTTCTCACGGAGGCATTTTAGACAATCCCCGTATCTCGGCTTCCGCAAATGCACCCCAAAGCTGGTATGTGGTATGCAACACCCTTCTTCTGGTACCGTGCTGCAAACACCTTGCTATGTTCCTTGGAGAGTCTAAGTCGAAGGTGACGGGTTTTGAATACCAGGGAGCCCGGAGCCATATCCTGCAGAGGGACCTTGCTGACCTTTCACCTTCGAGCTGTAGTTCGGTGAGTGTAAGGTTACCTGGGCTATCCACGTGGCTTCATTGTCTCGTCATGGCGTCAGTCTCGTGAAGACAGTTGACACTTACTTCATTCAGCCTCATCACTGCTGTCACCAAAGATCGATTTGAAGACATCATTGCTTGGTCGCAAGACCTCGCCGGCCTCGCTTCCGAGCTTTGGGATGTCGGCCTTTGGCTTCGATAACTGCTTCGTCATGTCGAAACTCAGCATGTCATCAACATCTGAGTTTGTTTCACGACTAAGCGGTTCATGGGGTGTGACCTCATTGGCAGGCACTCCGCAGTAAGCCTTATGAGGCTCTAATGAAGTTGCTGCATCCGAATCTGGTCGCGAGTGAGCCGGGGGTCGGACATTGAACCGCTTGCATAGTAATCTGGTTGGAAAGAAGTCTGCAGTCAGCCTCGTCATGCGCCCATACATTCCCATCTTGGCCGCCGTTTCAGTGGGATCTGTCTGCCCAACTGGCCCCGGGACCTGCTGCGCAGTGTGAGGAGAGCCTACGTCTGCGCCCTCCTTGGGCCCAGTCGAAGCTGTCGTAAATCGTGTTGCCATAAAGCCCGTCATTGGCTGGAAAAGCCGAGCACACCCATAGAACTCTTCGATCTCCTTGACATAGTCATCTTCCGTCATGCCTAAAGGCTTGAGAGGAGCTGAACCCCCGAATCCTGCGGCGTCCTGTAGATAGAGTCGATATCTTGCTTGCTTGGCCTCGTTGT